TGCGGGCGAGGCGGCCCGCTGCGTGGGCGAGTCGCCTGGCCTGGAGCTCGCCCTGGACCGCTGCCTGAGCGCCCTCAGCTCCGGCCAGGCGCCGGCGGCACCGGCGGCCAAGTGCGCGGCGGCGCCCCAGCCGCTGTGCGCGCTGCTGCCGCCGCCCGCGTCGCTCGGCCTGGCGGCGCTCCTGCTGTTCGTGGGCTTCGCCGTCGGGGTGGTCACCCGCGGCTGTTGCGAGCCGCGTCCGCGGGCGCGCGCGCCGGCGGGGGCTCACCTCCGCCCGGGCGCCTACACGGGGCCGGCCTCGCCGTTGGCCCTGGCCGGCGGCCCTAGTCCCGCGTGGTGGCGCGCGCGCCGGCTGCGGCCGCGCGCGTCCCGCGGGCACTGGACGTGCCCAACCCCCAGGTGCTGATTGACTACTTTGATGACCCGAGCGGGTACTTCTGGCACCATCGCCTCCTGCTGCAGACGGATGGCAAGGGGCTGTGGACGGTCGTGACGCCCACGGGCTCGGTGCAGGTCTTGGACCTCTCTCAGCACCAGGCCCTCCCCCTCGACCGCAACGAGCTGATCCCGGCGCCGTACTGCGATGAATGCTTCATCTTCGACCCGATCTCGGCGGCGGAGCTCGCCGAGTTCGTGCGCCGCGTGAAGATGCTGGCGGCCGTCCACGGGATCACGGCCGCGGCCGTGTCGGCCCCCGACACCGTCTGGCGGGTCGCCGACCCCGCGCATGAGGCCTTCGCCTCCGCGGTGCCCGAGGCGGCGGTGGCCGACCCTGCCTGCTTCGTGGCTCGCGAGGCCAGCGCCCTCGCGCTGGTGGACCGCCGCTGGGTCCACGCCGAGGCGGTCGAGGTCGGCCGGGAGGAGGCCTGGCGGCTGGACAAGGTCACCGCCTTTGGCCGCGACCCGCGCGTGTCGGGCCTGCGGCGCGACCGCCACGGCGTGCCCTACCTTTCGTAGGAGGGCGCCCTCGCGCTCTACGCGAACGGGAAGATCGAGCACTTCCCGCTGTCGGGGCCGCGGGTGGCGGTGGAGCTCTTGCAGAGCCCGCGGGCTCAGGGCCAGTCGCTCACCTCCCATCGCCACGAATGGGCGGAAGTCCGGCGTCAACGTGAACGGCGCCGCGGCACGCGAGCATTTCTTCCTCTCGGAGGTGCTCCGCTGGCAAGTGCAGTTCGACCAGGTAGACGCGCCCATGCTGGCCAGCGCCGAGCATGTGTGCCGCCGCCTTGCGCAGATAGAGGCGGCGGTGCGGCGCAACGCCAAGGTGCCTGACTTCACGGGCCTCGGCGCGCCGATGAGTACTTCCACCGACGAGAGCGGGGCGGCGACGACGGCGGTCTCCACGCAGCGGGTCGCCGACCGCCAGAAGGACCAGGCGACGATCGCGAAGCAGGGGCGCCTGCTGCGCGAAGAGAAGGAGGCGGAGCGAAAGCGGGCGGCCGATCCCAAGAGCAAGGGGTCGGCGCCCGCGGACTTATGACTACGACCGCGGGGGGCGCCCGCCACGAGCTGACTGGCCTGGCCGCCCAGTCGGACATCGCGCCCCCCGTTTTCATCGGCCAGAATTCGAACCACGTGCGCTCTCTTCGGCAGGCTGGGCCCGTCACGTCCTCGCGCGCTGACATATTCCCGCTCCCCTGCCCCGGTCTTGGCCATCATGGCCGTCGCCGGCGTCGCGCAGCAGTTCGTGCTGCCTCTCGCCGCCGGGCGCGGCATGCTGGCGTGGCTGAGTCGATCGTCGCGCTGAACGCGTTGGCATCGGCCTCAGCTAAGCCGCCTTTGGCTATAGTCGACCCTCCTTCCCGCGTCCCCAACGCGCCCCAGGCCGCGTTGATCAGTCGGGCAGGGGGGGGATTTCGCGCTGGGGGACCGCACCACGCACCTCCCCGAAGGAAGCCTTGTTTGAGCTTCACAGAGCCGCAGGGCCTCGAGGTCTTCGACGCCGACCGCTTGAAGATCCTGAAGCGCCCGACCAATCCCAAGCCGCCGGAGTCCGCGCTGTCGGGCTTCGCCCTTGCGCAGCACCTCAAGTCCGAGCGGCGCCTCGAGCGCGTCGCCGCAGTGGTGGAGGCGCGCGTCCAGGACGGCCTCATCACGCCCGTGAAGCCGTGCTGGGACCCCAAGCTCCGCGCCTCGCACTCGGGCTTGGGGGGCTCCGCACTTCGATCCGCGCCCGCATCGCGGTGTTCTTCCGCGCCAAGAAGGACGGATCCCAGCGCGTGATCGTCGACGCCCGCGAAGCTAACCAGCTCATGCAGGAGCCCCCCCCCGCCACCACCACGCGCAGCTCGGAGGCCCCGACGCCCTCCGCGACCTCGACCTCAGCGACGCTGCCTTCGAGATCGCGGGCTGCGAACCGCGGGGGGCCGACGTCCACATCGCGAGCCTGGACCTGTACCAGGGCTTCTACCAGTGCCGGACCATGCGGCTCGGGCGGCGGTTCGGCGTGGAGTTCGGTTTCACGGCCCGCGAATGGGGGTCTCCACCTGCTACGACGAGGGCGCCGAGAAGGACGCCCCCGTCGACGGCGACGCCGTCTTGTACTTCGTGATGGAGGTGCTCTGCATGGGCTTCAGCTGGGCGCTCTAGTTCTGCCAGGCAATCATGGAGGACGCCGCCCTCGCGGTGGCGGGCCCGCGCGCCCATGCCCCAGGTCGTCCTCTGCGACCGCTGGGCGGCCTGTTGCGCGAGGGCGCCCCCGCCCCCTTGGTCGCTCCTGGACGCCCCGTGTTCTCGGTGCTCGTCGACAACGGCGCCGTGATCGGATTCAATCGCGCTGACACGCAGCGCGGCCTGGACCGCTACCTCGCGCGACTGGAGGAGATGGGTTCCATCCATCGTCCACGACATCGAGCCGGCCCAGACGGACCTCGCCGTGGTGGGCCTGCGCTTCTTGGGCGGGTCCCAGCTCCAGCTGCTGCCGACCGAGAAGTACACCTGGCGGCTCTATCTGTCCATCGAGCGCCTCCAGCAGGGCGGCTGCCTGGGCGTTGCCCTCGAGCGCGTCGTCGAGCACCTCGTGAAGCGCTTCCGCTTGATGCCCTGGGGCCTGTCCGCTCTCGACTACTGCTACCGCTTCTTGCAGCGCTATGGTCGACGCGACTGTGGCTGGTTCAGCGACTCCTTGGTCACCGTGCTGCAGGTCCTGAAGGGCCTCGTGAAGCTGGTCGCCGTGGACCTGGCGGCGCCGCGCGCGCCCGTGGTGTTCTCGGGAGACAGCTCGACCTTCGGCTACTCGCTCTCCTTCGCGCGGGCGTCGCCTTCGGACACCCTGGACTCCGTCCGCCTGCGCGAGCGCTGGTTCAAGACGGAGGAGGTCAGCCTCACGGAGACGCCTGGCGACGGCGACTGCATCACGTCGCACGCCCCGCACCTGGCAGCCGCGCGCGTGGCGCTCGGCATGGGCATCGCGGGCATCGCCGAGCAGTCAGGACCGCTCCGCTTGGCGCCCTCCTCCTGGCCCCGCCGACGGCGGGCGCGTTGCCGCGCGGTCGAGGCCTCGGGCGCCTTCCGCGCGCTGGGCGACACTTGGTCTCGCCCCGAGCGATGACTTAACATCGTGAAGGGCGGCTGGGCCTACCACGACGCCATCCACCTGGAGGAGGCCCGCGTCGCGCTGACGCAGTTGCGGCGGGCCGCCCGCTGCCCCGCCGTGCACGGCACGCGGCCGCTCGGGCTCACCGACAACCTGAGCGCGCTGCTGGTGTTCATGAAGGGGCTCGCCTCAGACTTCTGGCCCCGCCTGCTGGCGCGGCAGGCGGCCGCCCTCGCGATCGGCGCTGACACCGCCCGGCACCTGAGATACATCGAGAGCTCCCGCAACTGCACGGACTACGACTCCCGTGCGGCGGATCGCGGGGAGGTCGCCCCAGGGGGCACCATCCTGGGGGATGCTCGGGCCTGCCGCCTGGCCGTCGACTCGGCCGAGTGGAGCCGCCCCCCCCCCTCTCGCCTTCGGGGGGCCGCGAGGGCGCGCCGTGGCCCGCCCCCGCGCCCCGCCAGGTCCTGCTGCTGTTCCCGCAGCTGGGCGCCGGCGGCGCCGCCGGCGGGCCGCCGCAGCGCTTGGGCTTCTGGGCGCCCGCTGGGCCGCGACGCAGGACCCCAGTCGGCTCTCGCCGTCGCCCGCCCCGCCGCCTCAGGCGTCGGGCCTGCCGCGTCTTCCGTAACATCTAGGCGGCCGACGGCGCGCCCTGGCGCTGCCGCCCTCCGAGCCGGCTGCGGGCGCCCGGCGGCGTCTGTCCGAGCGCCCTCCTCTCCCTCGCACGCCTCGCACCGCGCGACGAGCTCGGGCGTTTCTGGAGGTCTACTCTGGCACCAGCCGGCTGTCTTCGGCGCTAGTGGGCTCTGGGCTCCGCGCGCTGCCTCCGATGGACCTTCGGCGGGCCCCCTCCTGCGACATGCGCTCGTGGAAGACGCTTCGAGTTCTTGAAGGCTGGCTTCGGGGCGGCACTATCTGGTGGGCGCATCTTGGGGCGCCTTGCACGACCAGCAGCACAGCGCGCCACGGCCCTCTCCCTCCGGCCGACGCTCTGCGTGCCGCGCGGGATGTCCGCGTTGCCCGAAGGCTGGTCAGTTTGTGCCAGCGGCTCGGCATCTTTTGGACAATCGAGAGCCCGCTTCGTTCAAGCTTGTGGGAGCATGACCTCATTCGTCCGCTCTTCAGGCTGCCTCAGTCCGTCTTCGCCGAGATCGATATATGTGAGTTCGGTGCCCACTGTCGGAAGCCAACTGGTCTCTTGGGTGCGCTCCCGGGCCTCGATCAGTTACGTCGGCAATGTCAGGGAGGTCACTATCACGACGTCTTGGAAGGGAAGGTCTATGTCACCCCTCGGCCCAGTCCCTGCTCCTTGGCGTCTTCAGCCCCCTCGACCGCGGCCCCGCTGGTTCGGGCGGCTTGGCGCGCGACCCTCGCGGGGGCCTGCCCGCCAGGCCTGTGTCGCGCCTGGGCTGCGATCGCCGCCATCGCGGCGCCCCGCGGCTCGCGGCTCGGCACTGCCGAGGGCGGCTTTGCAGTGGGGCGCGGCAAGTAGCACGCTGCGCTACTGCGGGCCGCGGGAGTCGACGCCGCCACCTCCGGACCTCGGCTCGACCCGCTCCCTGCCGACGGAGTCCGTGAGCGGCCCCTTGGAGTCCGCTCTTGGGGCGGCTGCGACCACCGCTGGGTCGCGCCGCGGGCGCCCCCGCTCGGCCAAGGCGAAGCCTCCGGCCATGAAGCGCCCGCGGGCCGCCGCCCGCGCCGGCGAGCGGCGCGCCGCGGCGACGGCGGCCCCTGCCGAGGCCGTGGCCCTCCGCCAGCGCCACCTGAAGACCAAGAGCGTCTCGGCCAAAACCGCCGTCGTCTACGAGAGCTGGCACCGCCGAGCCGTGCGCTTTCACGGCCGCGCGCTGCCCACCGACCTCGGGAAGCTCGACAAGACCTTGGAGGCGTTCGTGACGGAGCTCTACTTCGACGGCGAGGCGGTCAGCGCGGGTCGCGTGATGCTGGCCGCGGTCGCCTTCAGCCTCAACCTCAACTTCGCCGGCAAAGGTGTCTTGCCTCGTGCCGAGCGCGCCCTCCAGGGGTGGCGCAAAGAGGAGCCCGAGGTTGCTCGCGATCCCTGCCCGTGGATCGCCCTCTCCCTCACCGTGGAGCAGCTGGTGAAGCTGGGCGACGACGGGCTGGCCGCAGCTCGAGCAGTGGTCTTGATGCAGGACGGGTACTTCCGACCCTCGGAGGTGCTCAGCATCCGGCGGGCCGACGTCGCCGACGTGTCGGCGCGGGGCCCACTGGCGATCACCATCGCCCCTGCTCTGCCCCGGTCTGCAGGGCCAGCCCGCGCCGCCGGCAAAGACGGGCATGCGCGACGACACCGTGCTGATCCACGACGAGGTCTCAGCGGCAGCTGGTCGGACATATCTCCGCAAGCTGATGGGGGCGCTGCTGGCCGCCGCGGGCGCGACGGGCTCCGCGAAGCTCTTCCCGACCCTGGCGCGCCCGAAGTTCGAGCGCCTCTCCGGGAAGGCCGCCGCCGGCGCCGGCCTGACGGAGCTGCACCTCACCCCGCACCTGCTGCGCCGCGGCGGCCCGAGCGAGGGCGCGCTCGGCCGCCACCGCGCGCTCGCGGAGGTCCAGGAGCGCGGCCGCTGGGAGGCGAAATCCAATGACAAGACCTACGCCAAGGGCGGCCGCGTCCTTCGCCAGACCCGCAACATGACTGACCAGCAGCGGCGCAACGGCGCCTCTCTTTTGCGCCGCTTGCCGCTGCTGCTTCAGCTTCGCTGATCGTCTCGTTTGGCGAACGCCCGTTTCAGTAGGCCCACCCACCCAGCCTTGTAAATCACGTTCCAAATATATGGGATATGGGCCTGTTGCTTATTGTGTGTCGGCGTCAGGGACAGCTTCGACTGCCGCCGACTCTCGCCGCCGATCTCGCACGTGGCTCGCTTCGATTCGGTTGTTGACACCTCGTTCCTTGGATCCTGCTTGCTGTGGCAAAAAGGGGTTCCGCTCTCTACCCGTGCCAGCGCAGCGCCCAGGTATTCAGAATCTTGATGCGTTTATCCGCTCAGTGGAGAGGGAGCGGGGAGGCACTGGATACGCCGGGTATCCTCTATAGTCATGTGGCCCACCCTCCCTGCCCTTTCTGAATGTTATCGTGGCCTGTTGCTTGTTGTGTGTCGGCGTCGGAGACAGCTTCGACTTCCGCCGCTTCTCGCCGCCGGTCTCGCGTGTGGCTCGCTTCGATTCGGTTGTTGGCGCAACTTCGTTCTTTGGATCCTGCTCGCTGTGGCAAAAAGGGGTCCGCTCTCTAGCTGTGCCAGCGCAGCGCCCAGGTATGTATGTATGTATGCAGGCAGGCAGGCAGGCATGTATGCATGTGTGTATGCATACATGCGTGCATGCATGTATATATGTACGTGCGTATGCATGGGTGTATGTACCAACGGTGATCATGTTTATGTATGACGCGCATTCATGACAGCAGGCGTACGTCTAGGTATATGTTTCTGTGTGTACACATTTATGCATGTATGTACGTATGTATGCATGCACGTTGTGTATACGTAGGCATATCTACATATTTGTATCCATGTCCACCGCCCCATGGGGCCCCAGGACATTGGTCCTCGGGTGGTGCGGCCGCGGGGGGGGGGCGCAGCCCTGCCAAGTGGCCAGGACCTACACGCGCAGCTCACTGCGGAGTGGTCGGCCGAGCTGGCGAGGGTGCGCTGCGGGGGGCGGGGGGGGGGGGGCTCTCTCCTCCTCCTCCTCCTCTTCCTCCTCTCCTCCTCCACCTCCTCCTCCTCCTCCTCCACCTCCTCCTCCTCATCCTCCTCCTCATCCTCCTCCTCCTCCCCCTCGCGCTGTGAAACAATCAAGACGTTTTTTTGTTGTTGCTCATTTCGCCCTCCGGGGGGGCCATTCGCGGGCCTCGGGAACGTCAAAAAACGACTCAGACCTCCTGGGGAAGGGGTCCAGACCTCCGGGGGTCGACGTGTTGACAAGGAGGAGGAGGTGGAGGAGAGGAACCTGGTGCATAGGTAGGCGAAGGAGGAAGAGGAGCAGGAGGAGGAGGAGGAGGAGGAGGAGGAGGAGGAGGAGGAGGAGGAGCAGGAAGAAAGGAGGAGGAGGAGGAGGAGCAGGAGGAGGAGGCGAAACAAATCACGACGTCGGGGGTCTGGGTCTCGCGCGCTGGGCGCGCCGCGGGGCGGCTGGGCGACGCGACTCGCTCGCGCAAGGCCCCTCTCGCCAGGGGCAGCGTCAGGGGGATCGGCGCAGCAGGGGCAACGATAGGGAAGATAGGTGGATGCATCGACGCCCAATCGCCCGCTGATCGCCGATAGGGGCCCGATAGCCCCAACCTGCACAGGAAGGTGCGTATTCACTATCGGGGGCCTATCACCGATCTATTGGCGATGTATCGCCGATTCCAGGTTGATGCACCCCCCCCTATGCCAGTCCCCCCCTTTCGTTGCCCCTTCTCTTTGCAGAAGAGGAGCAGGTAACGGATCCGCTCCCCTGGGCTCGATTTGGCTGTCGCGGGCCTCTTGGGAGGCCCTCGTCGCCACGGCTGGACTCGCGCCGAAGTTCTGGTCAGAGCGTACCCCAGGCGAGTTGCGTGTTGTCGCCGACCTATCGGCGAAGTATCGCCGCCGATTCCAGGCCGATGTTCCCCCCCCCCTGGGCAAGTCCGTCCCTGGCTGTTCCCCCTGAGCTTTCCTGCCGCCTGGGGGAGCCCTTTGACATTGCCCGGACCGGGCCACGCGAGGCCGTCGTGCTATGTCCGCGCTGTGAGTGCGTCAAGTTGCGCATGATACAGGCGCCTTGATCGTGGGGTTCTCTTTCAACAGGAGTGCAGGTGTATGTGTGGCGCCGTGTTTGGCGCATCACCGGCGCTTCGCATCTCCGATGGCGCCACGGCCAGGTATGCGCGAATGCGTCGAGGTAGGCGCGTTTACGGGCCTGGACCTCCAGAAGAGGGGCCGAGGATGAGGAGGAGCAAGGGTAGGCTTAGCAGCGACACTCAACACTTAACCGTGAACTATCTAAGTCTTAGTTTTGTGGGTCTACGTTGTGGTTTTGAGTTGTGGTTTGTGACGCTGTGTTTTCTACGTCGTGTTTCCTACGTTGTGTGTTTCTCTGATGCGTTGTCTACGTTGTGTGTTTCTCTGCTGTGTTTCTCATGTGTGGCTTGCACGTTCTGTTGACGACGCTGCGTTTGTTGTGCTTACGTTGTGTCTCTGTTGAGTGTAGGTGTCTGTATATGTAGTGTTTGCTACGTTATGTTGTCTACGTTGTGTGTATGTGTTGTGTTTCTCTGTTGTGTTTCTCTGTTGTGCGTTTCTGTTGTGTTTTCTACGTTGTGCTTATCGGTTGTGGTTTCTATGGTGTGTGTGTGGTTTATGTTGTGGATTCTACATTGTGTTTTCGCTGTTGAGTTGTCATGTTATGTTGTCTACGTTATGCTCACTACGTTGCTCTTCGATGATGAATTGTCTCGGTCCTGTATTCTCTGTAGTTGTTCCTCTGGTGTGGGCTTCCTGTTGTGTGTTCTCTGTTGTGTTTTCTACCTGGAATGTAGTTACGTTGTGTGATCTCTGCTGTGGGTTTCTGGTTTCGTGTTTTACGTTGTGGTGTCTTTGTTGTGTTCTCCTTGTTGTGCTGTCTCTGTCGTGCTGTGTGCGTTGTTGGGGGGGGTTGTTGTGGTTTCTTGTTTTACGTGTTTCGTTTCGTCACAGATGTTGCTATCGGTTTTGTGTTCCACGTTGTGGTTTCCCTGGGTGTGTGTTCGGTGCTGTGTTTTCTCTGGTGTGTGTTCTCCCCCGCGGCTCGTTTTCTCAGGCATGCGCCCACTGTTGTGTGTTCTCTGCTGTGCTGTCTACGTGGCGTGTTCTCTGTTGTGTGTCTTCTCTGGTGTGTAGTTTCTCGGTTATGTTTCTATGCCGTGGTTAGTTTGTTGCAGTGCCGTGGTGTGGTTTCGCTGTTGTGTGCTCTACTTTGTTTTTTTCTGTACGCGGCGATTGTCTCAAGATGAGTATACGCAGTCCCGCCGACCCCCAGAAGAGGCGGGGAGTCAGCGGTTGAGGTGTCGTGGGTTTCTTGGGCGCTATTTAGGGGGCTCCTGAGGGCGTCTTGGGAGTTGTTTGCGGGCCTGGCGGAGCCTCTTGGATGCTTTTTTGTTACGCTTGTGTTGGGGTTTCGTTTGGGCTGTGGGGGCTTCTTGGGGCTTATTGGGTTTCTGTTGGGCCGCTTAGGGGCTTCTCGGGGCCTGTGAGGGGCCTCCTTGGAGAGAAAGATAGGATGTTCGGTTCGTGTTCTCCCTCTTTGCCTCTCTTAGGGCCATCTTGGGGCGATGGTTGGCCGTCCAAGGCCCCTCTTGGGCCGTCTTGGAACCCTCCTGGGCCGTCCTGAAGCCATCGTTTGAGCCTCTTGGGCAGGTTTAGGGCGGCCTGCGGGGCCTCTTGGGCCGTCTTGGAGCGTCGGAAGCTCGAGAAGACGACAACCCCACAGACAATGACCAACCCATGGCATTGATGTGTTGCTTCTCTGGGCCCTCTGGGGAAGGCTCCTGAGGTGTCTCGAACGCATATTGGGGTATCAGGGGGGCCTCTTGGGGCGGATAGCTCGGACTTCCAGCGCGTGCCTCCTCTCTTGGGCCTCTCTTGGGCTGTCTTGGGGCCGTCTTGGGCGCATCTTGGGCCGTCTTGGGGCGCTTTTTCCGTAGCCATTTTGGCTCAAGCCGCCTTGGCTCGCGAGCCGCGTCGCTGGGCCGCCTCGCGCGCCCGCCGCGGCTCCGACGCTGGCGGCGATGGTGCGCCTCCCGCCTGCGCCCCTCGCGCGGCCGCTGGGAAGCGCCGTCGCTCACGAACCAGGGTGCTGCCGCTGAGCGTGGCCTCGGAGCTGGAGGGGACGGAGGCGTGGTCCGCAGGACCGCGGTGGCCGCTGGTCTGGGCGGGTCGCCGTCGCGGCGGCGTGGTCGCGCCGATGGCGCGGAGGTGCGCGAGGCGGCCCAGTGGGCGCAGCCGGTGGGCCCTTCCGGCGCTGGTGCGTGAGCCGTCGCCGACGCTGCTGGCAGGCCCCAGCCCGCGGCGTCGTCCTGGTGGTGCTAGACGCGCTGTGCCGCCTCTTCATCGTGCTCGTGGCTTTCGGCTCCCTCCGCCTCGCCGACCTCTTCGTCAAGCCGGCGGAGGTGTTAGGGGCCCTCGGCGGTTCGGGGCGAATGCCCGTGAACCCCCGCCTTGCGAGGCGTGCCCCAGCCCGACGCTCAATCGCTGGTGCGCGTGGGGCCCACGGTGGACGGCCCCGACCTTCCCCTGCGACCCCGTTTTGGGGGAGGGGTGGCGAGGGCGGCCGTGGGAGCGTTGCGCCCGTGGCGGACGGCGCTAGGCTCCGAGCGAAGGAGCGCGCCGAGCCTCGGCCAGCGGGTGGCGCCGCACCCTTTCCACAACAAAATCTTGGGGCGCTTCCGGGCTGTCTCGGGTCCCTCTTGGAGGCTTCTTGGGCTGTCTTAGGGGCCTCTCGGGGGCCTATTGGGCCGTCTTGGAGCGTCTGAAAACAGAAAAGAAAACGAGAACGCCCAAATCCTTCAGAACCCCAAGAGGCACCTTTGATGTTAGCCTCTCGCGGGGCCCTCTCGGGAAGGCTCTTGGGGCGCCTCTAAGGCGCATTGAGGCCTCTCGGGGCGGAGGGCTCGGACTTACGGTTCGCGTTCCCTCTCTTGAGTTTTTCGAAGGCGTCTCGGGGCGTGAGCCATCGTAAGCGTCTTGGGCCAATCGTTCAACGATTCTGGGCCGTCTTGGATCGTCTTTCGGGCCGTCGTGGGGCCCTCTTGGGCTGTCTTGGGCTGTCTTGGGCGTCCTGGGGTGCTCTCCGGCAGTCTTGGAGCCCTCTTCGACGCCTCCTGGGCTGTCTTGGGGCCTCCTTTGGGTACTCTTGGGCAGTCTTGGATCGTCGGAAAGCAGAACAGGCGAGAACGACAACATCTGTCAACAACGTATTGACGTTTGCCTCTCGGGGCCCTCTGGGCGAGGCTCTTGGGGCCCGTCGGAGGCGTCTTAGGGTGCGTTGTAGCCATCGCAAGCGTCTTGGGCCAATCGTTCAGCGATTCGGGACCGTCTTGGAAAGACTCTGAGTCCGTGGAGGGCTGATTTGGAATCTCCGGAGTATCCCGGGGGCGCGCCGGCGAGCCTGGGCGCCGCCCCCCAGGCCGTGCAATAATTTCCCGTAGTATTTCAGACAAGCAAACATGTATCAAGGGGGCGTGGATTAGCGACGGGCCCCATTTCCACTGGGAATCGCGGGCTCCCACCGCCGAGCGAGGCTGCGCCGGCCACATTTTGGGGAGGGCGCCTCCCCCGATCCACGGATGTGGCGACCGCGTGCCAAATCCATGGATCGCTAATCCACGCTTGTTTGTGCGCCTCCGAGCATTGTCGGGGACCTACTGAACCGCGCCAGTCCCGGCCCTGGTCAGATCCTGCAGGATCTTGCACGCAGAGGGATTTTGGATGAAAAATCAAACATAGTCAAACATAGTCAACAAATCATCAAACGTCGTCTCCAGCTATTTTTTCATTTTTTTGAATTAGCCTCCTGAAGAGAGACACGCCCGACTTAACCATAACCCCCCAGGCCGAAGCGGATCACAGATCCTGCTCCCGAGCCTGGGTCAGTGCAGCCCTGGCCCAGCATGATCCTGCAAGATCCGGCGCTCTGACTGACCC